ACTTACCGTCATCTCACGGCACTCTCTTATACTGTAGATTTTTACAGCCCTAATTAGGCGAGCGTTATTGGGGAAATACATGCCTTTTGTCAGAACAGCTGGTCTAGACTCATCCCACATCGCTGATCGAAATTCATCATCATCCCTTGTGAGGGCATCCACGTTCGGCATGCTTGGCAAATTATCAAGGTAGGGAATATTCCGCTCATGAAATGGCACGTGGGACTCGTACACTCTTGGTCTAGCTGGAGGTGGAGGAACATGCTCCCTCGTCAACTCAGGTTCAACATTCACTTCCACCTCATCATCACCCTCATCATGGAAGGGTGTGTCATCCCCAAACTCATCCGCATTGTTATCATAATCACTATCATCTTCCTGACTCTGCGCATCTGCCAAATCACGAGTAAATACGTCGTCTATGGGCAACTGTGTGAGGTCAGGAGCTTCAAGAAGCTCGTTTTCACTGCACATAAAGAACAAAATGATAAGTTACCCAACTAGATAAATACTTTAGATATAGCTATATCACTTTACTTACAAGTCGTACTGTCTTGACGTTTCATGATGGATATTTTCTTGTTGGTGATGACTCCCAGATGGACCACCATGGTCCAATACTCCAGAACTACGCATATTCCAACTAGGGGCAGGGTCATAACTTGTAAAATTCATATCCGGACGGTACCCCCTATGAAAAATATGAGTGTTAATACAAATCCAATTAAAACATAAATTAAACATCGCTAAAGCGTAGTAAAATTGAAGTTTACCAGTCGTCTTGTTGATTATCTAAAGTCGAAAAATTATTTTGTGGTTGTTCATTCGCCGGTGGTGACAAGTTTAAATCAAGACAAGCTCTTTCATCACTAATCTGTCCGGCAAAAACTGCTCCAGAATAACCACCCGATGATTGGGGGTTATCCCTACTATGCACGCCCTCATTATTGGGAACGTCTTCCACCTTGACGTACATTTCCAATAATTTTATTACAATAAATTCCCTATATTCATCCGGAATCAGCAAAAAATCTCTAAGAGTTTCATCATCCTCGATGTTAAACTCAGAATAATAAGCAAACGCCTGCGGAGTCACTTAATACGGAAATCTACCGGTTATTTTAAGGTTAACCGAACGCCTCCTCTCATTCATTTTTTACGTAACAACGATACTAATTTATTGTACTCCATAGTAAACGGCAATTTAACATGACATTGTGGAGGTGAGCTATACCTCACAGAGTTATTCTCCAACACAACCTCACCCCCCAATATAGTGGAACCCTTATTTTTGCCACTTCAGACATTATAAAAAAATAATTGAAGAAGAAGAGAGAAGTATGAACGTAAGTTTGAAATAAAGTATTGAATGAATTTTTATAAAATTGAAACGCCTTTAAATAAGGCAAGTCCGACGTTGGGGTGTAGAATTTTTCTATGTAAAACGCAGTACAATACTACATTTTATGTATTGAATTATTGTTATGTCAGTTCATTATTGGTGGGGGCAAAAACCAGAGTACAACGCAATTATTTAATGTAAAACGCATTATTATACTGCGTTTTACAAATGTATCTTAGTAAAACGCAGTATAGTACTGCGAATTACAAAAATAAATAATTTATTAAGTAAAACACAGTACTATACTGCGAATTACTTTAACGGCAAAATTTCCATTAAAGTAATTCGCAGTATAATACTGCGTTTTACTCATTTATGTAACTTTTTTTTAAAAGTAGTACAAAAATGTTTTTTGTCCAAAAAATAATTTAAAAGGTTTCGTCCCCCTAAATTTTCATTTTAATCATTGTATTAAGGTCATTAGAGGTAAAGAAGGTGAATCCCGTTATGCATTAAGACATCTTTGTACTATTTTGAAAACTTGAATTTNGGTTTATATAAACCGGAACGAAATGAGTATTTAAGAGAGGTTTTGAAAGCCATAACACTTACCTGTAGGTCTAAAGCATGTCCACTCTTACACCGGGGAAATTCCTATTAGAAGCCAGCATTCCATCATATGTACATTATGATGTCCAATCAATACCCACGGGATCGACTATGGAATAGTGTCAAGTGGTAGTACAATACTGTCAAAACTAGATTGCTAACAATATCCAAACTAAGGAAAATTTTATTTTGTATCTTATACAACTTACACTAGTTGTATGAGATATTTTTTGTCTCACAGTTTTGTAGACTCGAATTTTTGTGGACCAAGAAATGTAAGATTGAGGCCCACAAATTTGTGAGAAAAAAAAAAGCCGCGCACAACAACTAATGTCCGTTGTGTGAGGCATTCAATAAAATTTCTCCCAAACTAACCCCAAACATCAGCTAGATATGCTAGCAAGGATAATCATAAATGAAAAAGCCTAAAGGCTAATTTTAGAAATAGATAGCACATAAACAACTAGGTAGCATGATCTGGTTTTATTGCCTGCAATTAGGAGTGGCAAGCGGGCGGGCGGGTCGGATATGATTCGGGTGGAAAACAGGTAATGAAAATACGGATAAATTATCCAACCCGACCCATATTTAATGCGGATAAAAAACGGACTAACCAGCGGATAATATGGGTAACCATATTATCCGTGACTTCTTGCATATGATTACTTTTGAGAGAATTTTTAGCTAGCGTTTGGACATAAATTTAGTTGAAACTTGAAAAAATAATTTTTGAAGTAGTTTTGAAAAATAATTTTTGGAAGTTGAAATTATGTTTGGACATGCATTTTATTTGAAAAACAATTGATGTTTTGTGAGTGGGAGAACAAGTTTCACCCAAAATCCCCTAAACTAGATTTTGGGAACTTGAAAAATAATTTGAGAAATTTTTCAAAAATATATCATTAATCTATGAACAAACAATGTTTTCAAAAAAGATTTGAAAAAACGTTGCCAAAATGTATGGCCAAACGGAGCCTTAGTCTCCCTAACTTGAGTAACCTCCAATTTGAGGTTTTACAAATGTAAAAGTTAGACCCATTGGCTACCCATTGATTATCCATTTTCTAAATGGTTAATATGGTTCTCATCCATATTTGACCCGTTTTTAAAAAGTTCATTATCCAACCCATTTTTTAGTGGATAATATGGGTAGTTAACTGTTTTTCTTTGAACCATTTTGCCACCCCTACTTGCGACCAACATTGTGTTATAAAGACAAACACATACATCTCATTCCCTTCAGTATCATTAACCCTTTTAAATTGTAGACACACTCATCTACAGACAGAACTCCTACTTATTAACAAAATAAATAAATGTTCATCCTAATGATTCTTTTTTCTTCTTGTGCATTTTTTTTTTTGNGTAATCAGTAGATCAGTAAAAGAAACCAAATTATCAAATGTCAATAATGTGAAGCTTCTGTATGAATCAAGTGTCACATTTATGAGAGATCTCCTATAAACATTAACAGCCAAAAATATGCAGGATACTGCGATAAGTGTGACAAAGAACCAATCAGTAATTTAGTTGACGGGATGTAACAATTTTTAAAAGCAGAACGAAAGCATGTCGATTGTACTAAAATCAAAGAACACAAGAGAAGATGACCATCACACCTGAAATTGCAGAAACTAGCCTTAACTTCTCGTTCACAAGCCCGTGTTGCGATTCTAAAGAAAACCAGGAGAACTCACAGACAAAGAATGAACCTGGCCATTCTTGTCTTTGTACAACAGATGAACTCCACATTTCTTAACAAAATCTTCAGTTGGAAAGTCATAGCATTCAATAAGAATGCTCATCATTTCTCTGCCTTTAACTGGACATTTGAAGTAATTTGGTGGTATGTAATGGATGGACGAATTTTCTGCAAAGGATATGGTCGTCCACAGACGATGGTTAAACTCAACGCCATTTGTTTGATTGACAATGGTGGCTTTAGGATAAACATTTTTAGTTTCATCCACTGTTCCATAAACAACCCAAAGGAACATGCCCAAGAATGTACTCTCCCCCTGTAGAGGCATATTGAAGCACATTGAACATCCATCTACTTTGTAGCTAAACCAATTCGGAACATTGCTGTTGCAAAGCCCTAGTTGGAGCTCACTACCATGTTCATAATGGGCCTGTTTGATGCAAATCAATGATAAGTAATACAATAAGATAGATTAAATACAAGAATGACCCATACTATTTCAAAAAGTTTCCGGTAAAAGGTGCACTAAGTTCCCGCTATGTGCGGGGTCCGGGAAGCGCCGGACCACAAGGGTCTATTGTAAGCAACCTTACCACCCTGCATTTCTGCAAAAAGGTTGTTTCTACAGCTCGAACCTATGACCTCCTGGTCACATTACATCAACTTTACTAGTTACGCCAGTTATAAGTAATACAATAAAATAGATTAAACACAAGAATGAACCAAAATGTTTATAGGAAGGGGGGGGGGGGGGAGAGGAGGAGAATTATATACTTACTTTGAAGAAGTTTTCAGTGAAAGGATTTTTGAGAGCCTTGCAATTGAATAAGTTGATGTAGCGTATGGAATGAAGGTTGTCCAAGCCCAGAATCTCTATCAATCTTTCGCAATGACTAAGTTCCAAGTTCTTCAATTTACTCAAGTTAGATACATCGAGTAGTCTTCCAAAACTCTTGCAGCTCCATAAGCTTAGTCGTCTGACAGAATCAAGGTTCTCCAAGCCTTGAATCTCCATCAACATTTCACAACGACACAAGTCCAGTTCCTCCAACCTTTTCAAGCCTGACAAATTTGGAAGTCTCTCTAATGACTTGCACTTATAAGCTCTGATATTCTGAAGAGTGGGAGGAATTTCAGGAATACTTTTAAGATTCGGACATTCGCTTAAATTCAGATACTTTAGACTGGAAAGGTCACAAAGGTTGAAAGGTATAGCACGAAACTTATTTTTGCTAAAACATAGATTCTGTAAAGATGATAAGCTCGCAAGAGAAAAAGGAATATCATCTTCAGTCATATTCCAGTTCTCAATTTGTAAAACTTTTAAAGCACTTAAATTTGAAAATGAAGAAGGTAAATATCCCACTCTACTAAGGCTTCTTTTTGGTTGCAACCAAGTTGAGAATATGTCTGAAAATTTGGATTGTCTTTTCAATAGGAAGTCCTGTGATAGCAATAGCATCTCCAAGTTCTTTAAATGTCCAACAGAACCAGGTAATCTTGTGATAGCTGTTGCAACTGCACTCAATTCTTTCAGACGTTCCAACTTTCCCAAATCGTCAGGCAATTCTTCTAGTTTTGAGCAGCCATAGAGATATAAGATTTCAAGTGATTTTAACTCACAGATTCTTCGTGGGAGTTCTCGTAGGTTCATACAATTAGCTACGTCTAACATACGAAGTCTCTTCAATTCTCCAATTGTTGAATCCAATCCCATCAAATTTGAGCAATAACCAAATGATAACTTCTCAAGACTATGTAAACCAACGAACTCTGGGGATTTCTTGAGATTCTCACAACTGTAGAATACCAACATCTTCAAACACTTGAAATACTGATTCCCAAAAGTAGAACACAAGTAAGAATGATAGTAATAAGATTTCTTCTTTGTTTAATTTACTATAAAAAGATCAGAAATTCAGTACTCAGAAGACATGCCAAACCTTTAATGGCGCTTGGGATTCCTTGAAATTGCCAAAACTCATGTTGAGAATGACAAGATTCTCCAGACAAAAGTCAGATGGCAAGCATTTCAAAGGGCAATAGTGCCAATGCAAATATTTTAGTGACTTTGGTAGATACTGAAAACTTCCATATAACTGCAAATGATTGATGCGTAGGAGTCTTAACTTGGCCATTTTTTCAAATGCTTTTGTACTAAAAGGTACATCCTTCAATGCTGAAGATTCAAGGACTATTCCTTCAACTGCTTTTGTGCCCTGTAGCAAGGAACAAAAAAAAACCTTGGTGACTATAAATCAGACAATAAGAAAATCAGGACAAAATCCTAACAACATTAACATACTAATGGCGTCTAGGCGGAGGCCGGACTTCTTGGTTCAAAAAGAAAAAAAGAAGTTAAAAAGATTGTAGCTAGTGAGACTTGAACCTATGACCTTACAAAGGTTTTGAAACCCGTTAATCACTAAGCTATGCTTTTGGGCTGTGTCAAGAAGATTCAAAACTTAATATATAGAGGTAAAAAATAGATTTTGCCTTATATATACAGTGTAATTTTTCGGCGAAGGGGGTTCGGGCGAACCCCCTTCCGCCCTCCTAAATCCGTCCCTAGGAACAACCTCTATAAAGTAGCTGAAGGGAATAGTATGATACCTTGTGTCCTATTAATACATCAGAAATGTCTTTAGGGCACCATAATCTGCTACGCTTCCCCGGGTTATCGGGTGATTCCCTATGAACAATTTCTCGTCCCATATCCCGGATCAAATTATGCACATTCAAATTCTTATTTTCATCGATTGCTAACAAAGATTTGTCAATCAATTCGCAAATTTCAACCTCAGGGTAAAAACCGCATGCTGTGAATATACCTACGACCTCACTCTTCTGGACTTTGAAGCAGAAACAAGCAATATCAAGGAAAACAGCTTTTGTAAAATCATCAGGAAGTCCATCAAAGCTTATTCTGAGTTTTTCATGAATATCGTTAGAAGGAATCGTCTTTAATTTCTCCAAGGCATTTTTCCATTCTTCGATCTTTTTATCAGACAAATAAGCGCCCAAAACTTGAAGAGCTAATGGAACTCCTGCACAGTAAGTTACAATACCTTCCACAAGCATACTATAGTCTTCAGCCGGTGGTGCATTTCTAAAGGCGTGTAAAGTGAAGAGTTGTAAAGAGCTTTCGTGATCCAATTTCATGGCTTCATATTGCTCATTCAATTGTAGTTCTTTGAGCAAATGCTTGTCTCGGGTTGTTATAACAACTCTACTACCCGGGCGAAGCCAATCACGTTCTCCAAGTAATGCATTTAACTGGCATTGATCGTCCAAATCATCAAGGACTATGAAAACCTTTTTCTGCCAAATCCCTTCTTTGATCAATGTAATACCCTCATCCACATTGTGCACTTTGATCTTTCTCCTAAGAATCGTTCGAAGAAGTTGCTCTTGTAAATGAACTAATGCATTATGTCTTTCAGAAGCCCCTGATTTCACATTTTCAAGAAAGCAACTTGCCTCAAAATGCTGAAGAAGTTGGTTAAACACAGCTTTTGCAAGAGTTGTTTTGCCAATTCCACCCATGCCGTGAATCCCAATCACACGAACATCATCACAACCTCCTTTGAACAATAACTTCTCTATTTGATTAACACGGGGAAAAAGTGCCACAGGGTACTTGGTAACATAGAGGGGTGTTCGAGATTTGACTTCCTGTAAGACCTCCTCAATAATAATATGGATAAATTTGGATTCAAACCTGCAAGTGAAGCAAAGCATCATTTTTGTTTCTTTAGTGAAAACAAAATCATCCAACTATAGCTTTTTCATTCAGAAAATAAAGTGCACCACAATAGCGTCATTATCTCCCTGTTGGAGTGCCATGTCATATTAAAAACTCATTTTTTATTGATATGACCCATTTAACTACATGAGAGCCTGATCCAGTAACTTCTTTCCACTTTTTTAGGGATCAAATAAATGAAATGCGCCTTCAACCTTTCTTAAATAGTCGCTGATCATACAAGAAGTTCATTGCCATCTGATCATCGCATCCCAAAATTGTTGAAGAAGGCCGTACTGAACTGGACATTCTAACAGCTAATTAAAAGCTTCCGATTTTTCATCATTCTCTGGTCGCCCCTGTCCAGCTGAACTGGACATTCCGAAGTTTGTTGCTAGACATGAATATGGGACTACCGTTTGTGACAAGTAAAGTGTTCTGCTTGGCTGCCACAATAGTACTCTTGTTCAAACCACATAGGAGTGCTTGTAGAGGACTATGAGAAACTATATCAAGAGGAGCTGATTGCAACAAAATTTCAGAATGTCCAGTTCGGTTGGACAAGGTCAGTTTAACATGGTATTAGATCAGATAGAGAGAGGTCCAGAGTTCAATTCTCAGTGTCACACATTATCAAAAGGAGTTTCCATAGGCTTTGCCCATAGTTTTAGATGAGATAGTCAGAGTTAAACATGTCTCCCCCTTCCCCAAAAAAGGAGATGAAAATCTATATAAAACGTCACAAAAAGAAACGACATTATAATAGAAGGAAATATTACCCTTCAGCAACATGCTTGAGATCCCATCCTGATAAATTACCAACTCTACTGAGTGCAGCTCTCCATAGTTGAATGTTTTGCTCTGATTGAGAACATATTCCATGCCTTTCAAAGGCTTCAGCGAAAATTCCTGTTTGTTTGCGCACATCAGAAGGGTCAATATCATAGAATATAGGAAGAACTAACCGTTTGGAATTCTTTTTGAGCTCAAGGATATGTAGAAGCTCATTAAGACACCTTCTAGATGAGGCATAGTTTTTGGAAAGAACAATAATAAAAATGATTGATCCTTCAATTGCATTCATGACTACTTCAGAGGAAACATGTCCCCCCTCATCATCAGTTCTGAATGTATTGACCCCAACTTGGCAGAGTGTTAAGTATAGTTGATCTGCAAAGTATTTTGAAGTATCACCACCTCTACAACTCAAGAAGACATCATATTTCCAAGGGCGAAGTGCAAGCGAAGGCTGAGAATTAGACGATTGATCTTTGCCTTTCTGATCAGCCATGTACCGAAGTTGGAGTAAATAAACTTGTTCTGATGCAAATTGCAAGATAGTTTTTGATACAGAGACAACTCTATAACTAAAAGTGCCTCAAAATGATGACTTCAGTTTCTCAACTATTGTTTTGAGTACAAGTAACTTTACTAAGAAAAGAATCACCTACTATTTTTGAAGCTCTCTTGAATTTAAAGGATCTCTCGTGATTTACATTCATTTAACTGTTAGACACAACCCCTTATAAGCTTTTCATTTTTCAATTATAACCTGCTTCTTTTGTCCCTTCTTTCATTCTCCTTATTTAATTAATTGCTTAACTATCTTCCTTTTAGTAGTGGTATATGACTAATTAGGTTGGTAAACTTGGTCTTTCTGGTTGATTAAATTAAGAAAGATGTTCCAATTTTTTAAAGTGATTATTCTTGACTGTGTTGGAGACCTCAAGCTAAGTTGCTCTAACATGGGTACGGGTGTCCGATACGGGCGCAGATCTAGAGGTCGAATCCTTTAAGACGAAACTTTTAAGACTCAAAGATATGGATCCTAGAACCGACACGGATGCAGGAATTCGGCTAAAAATAATTCAAAAATAAAATTAAATATATCTCTAAATTATTTGGAGTAGTTACCTATAAGCTATAACTTGTTAAATGTGAATTTCTTCTTCATTCGTGTTTTTGCAACTGTTCTCTTACTTTACATAGTCAAAAGAATCAAAAGCTTAAAGATTTCAAAGCAAGCTCCACGTATAATTTTTTGGGATAAAGAAAAACTTGTTCTTTTATGGTCAATTGAAATGTATAAATAAAAGTAAATCAAATATAAAAAGTTAGATAGTGGTGGGCGCGAGACAAAAAAGATTGCACACGGTCATGACAGCTAGAAAGCATATCAGTTTTCAAGAGGAAAGCAAATCACTTTTCAAAAAGCATATCCTAATTTCTCTTTCGTCTCCGTCTATCTGCACTTGCCTCTTCTTCTTTCCTTAGTTTCTTCCCCAGCAAAACTTTTTTCATGTCTGTTTTTTTTTTCCGGTATAAAACCTTTTCCTTCTTTGTTTGGTCAAGATGATCGAATCCGACACAGATCCCACACCTTTGTCTGTATCAGTGTCATGTCGATACGAATACGACACCCAAATTACTGTGTCCGAGCAACTTAGACCTCAAGTCCTCAACTTTCTTTCCCTTTCCCCATATATTTTTAAGTGATTATTTGGAGTTGGAAAGACAAACATAGACACTTCTGGCATTTAAAATCAGATTGTGATTTACATCTTGCTTGGATGGTTGTTACTGTTATATTGTATTGTTATTTAAATATAATGTTTGTTTTGATTTAAATTTTATTTTATCGTATTGTTAAATTCATCATTACGTAAAGATGAAAAGTATCACTTTATGGAACGGTCGATTTGGTGTGAAAGCATTGTTAACTCATTTTTTTCAATTATCTTGCTCTTCCTTATTATTAAATAATATTATTTTATTATTTATCTTACTTTTTTATATAATTATTCTACCTCGTACCTTATTTTTTATTTATAATATAGCAAGTTTATTTTTCATATTATTAGTGCATCATTTTATAAAATAATAATAAACAATACAATCTATCCAAACATTATATACATCAAAACGATACAGTATAATACAATACAATGTCATATGATACATCATGAAATCATACATAACAACCATCCAAACAAGTTGTTTGGCGATTGTACTAAAAGCAGAGAAAGTTGTACCTTTTTGGTCTTGACGAGGCAAAAATTGCCTGCTTATTCTTAATTGCGCAGCTTAATGAGTTGTTCTCTCACTACTAGGGGTGTCAATGGATATTGAAAAATCGACTAAATCGACCGAATTGTACCGTACCGAAATGATTTTTAGGTTTCTTTTAATAAACGTAGGTTTTTATATAAATCTATAATCGTACCGATAATTAGGGTAGATTTTTTATTTTATAAAAATAAACCGAAAAAATACCGAACTGTACCGAATAAATTTACATGTGAAAAATATATTTATTATTAAGTTTAAAAATAATAAAACATTAAATTTTTCCTTGGATTTTGGAATTACGAAAACAATTACAAGCCAACAAATAATAAACACAAAATTATAATTCTCAAACCTATTATGTCACTCCCATCGAAAATAAATTATTTTTAACATATTCACTAGCAAGACACAAGGCATTATAGCAATTATGAGTAGCAAACTACAATGTATTGATTATATTTCCTTTCGTATGATTTAAGTTTATCTTTTTGTATATTTAGTCTTCTATAGACTTTACTTTTCAATATGAGTCCCAGTTTGATTAATATCTTTCCACTTATGTAATTTATATTTTCTTTATATTAATTTGTTTAGTTTTTTTTACGCTATTGTAGAGTAGTTGACAGATCTATACTCTAGCTATCTTTCATATTTTCTTAATTCATCGCCCTTTAAAATGTAAAAATGTTTAGAGAGTTTTGCTAAGTCCTATAAAAGTATGGATGTTATTGCATTCTACTTCTACTAGTGACTTTTACATGACATTTTAAAAAAATACCGAAAATTAATCGAACCGTACCGATACCAAAGAGAAATCGATATAATTGGAACGGTTTCGAAAAGTCTAATTTTTGTTATACATAATGAATAACCGAAAAATTGGTATGGCACAAAATTTACAAAATAACTGACCGAACCGAACCATTGACGCTACTACTCCACCGCCACCGTATTGTTCTTAATCTCCCTATCGTCTATCTCATTTGTTAATTGTAATGAACTCAACCAACACCACCTGCGAACCATCCTTCTCCGCCCATTTCGCAAGTGTAGTCACACACCAATAATAACATGATGTGTGATTACATAATAACAACAATAATAATATATTCGGTTTAATCGTACAAGTGGAGTCTGGGAAGGCTTTACTCATATGTTGTTCCCTCAGCTCAAATACAAATGCAGAGAAGTATTAGCAACAAGTAGTAACAACAACAACAATAAAAATATAATAAGATAATTGAAGTGAAACAAATAACCAATAAAAATATAACTTTACAAATAAAAAATATAAGACTAACACTCATGCAACTGGTATCGAAAAGAAATATAATCAACTAGTTTGACATATGATTAACTTTAAAAAAGATACTTGAAATTACAATTATATCTCTAATTGTCAAGATCTTCCATTTTCTTCATTTTCCCCAGCTATACCATCATGGCTGCCAAAAAAACCTACCACCTCATCATTGCCACATTCAATACCCACCACCCCAAATGTAAAAATTTACCATTAATCTTCATATTCTTTGCCACATTCAACACCCCGCTGTTTAAATACACCATTATTTTTTATTTTTTTTCCACATTAAACATTCCAACCATGTTATAATAAAACCTGGATTTTTGTGAAATGTTTTTGGAAAGTGGTAGTGCAATAAATATCACGCCCGAACCTTAGGAGGCGCGGCTGGCATTCGGTGTCGTACTGGCCCGAGCGAACCACTTTGCAATGTATGATCATTCGTCAAAAACTAGAACATACATAAGCCGACTTGGATGAACTGATTCTTTCTGTGACTATCATGGGCCAACATAGCCACAACTTGTACTATGTAACTGTAAGTGGGCAAATATTGTATTAGTGAGCCATCATACTCAAAATATTAATACACATGGGCCGTCAAGGCTTCTGACATGATGTACATACTGAACCTGTGTCTACAAAGCCTCTAAGAGTATCTGGCATTGAAACATGATCAACACAAGACACTAACCTACCCATAAGCGCGTGCACACACACACACACACATATATATATATATATATATATATATACATAGGACAGTCTGATAACCTCTAGACTCGGCTGTACTCCGGATGAAATGGAACTTTGCCAATCCTCAGCTGGATATCAACTCTGTCTATGATAAGAGCCTGCCAAACTGGATACCTAAACCTGCAGGCATGAATGCAGTGCGCCGACTATGGGACATTAGTACAAAGAAGTACTAAGTATGTAAGGCAGATAACATATGAATAATTGAATTGAAACTGAACTGATATGTATATATGATATATTGAAAGTAATCTGGAGGGTCAATGAGATTCGGGAATCATACTTACCTTATTCTAACTCGTAACATATCTAAGCATTAAATTATCCAACTCATCTTACAAAGGATGTAGACTGCAAATGGAAGACTCCGCTGGCTGAGAACATCTAATATTGTATATACGTCTAATTTGTGTCACGATACACCTAAACTTGTTCCCATATGCTATATGTACTGGAAACCATCATATTATTGAACTTTATCTATAACACTCTTCTAGAAATCATACCTTATATTTTGAATACTTACCTTAGATAAATCAAACATCTCTAGGGCCACACTAAAACATAAAAGTGGCACTTATGCATTTCATAAGAGACCGTTCGTAAGGCTCACTCATAAACATGAATAACCAGTGGCTCGTATGCGTAACATAGTAGAGCGCCCGTACGGCTCATAATACTAAGGTTTGGCTATGCGTGCAACTGAGACCGTCCATAACCAACCTTTATTATGCACATATGCGTTCATAGACCGTCCATAGGGCTTCACTGTAAACCTATGCGTTCATAGACCATCCGTAGGGATCATGTCTTATACCATTTATTTCATATCACTCATGCAGACGTCATTCAATCATCAATAGATAAACTCGTATTCATAAACATACAAGTTCGTGACTAACTCATTACAATAACTCATGTCTTCTGATTCATCAGACCATTCGTACATAATGTTTCATTAACATCTAGATGTTTTGTTACATATAAAAGACAAGGACCTTTCAGAAGGCTCTATTTACTCCTTATGAATACATGAAACTATGACCAACACAATCCATTTCAACATTCATATGACTATACCCATGAACGGACCTTAAATCGTCGGTGTAGTACGTATACAAAGTCTTGTCCCCTTGAATTCCTTATAAGGGCAATATAACTTACGGACTCATGCCAAAGAAAAGAAAGGAAGATCTTACATACCTTTAAGTCGATCCTTCGACGAAGATGATGGAAAAGTCTCCTCTTCAATATAATCTTTAAACAACAAGAAAAACTATAAGAACAACTCTCCTTAAACTTGAAAGAACTCACAACACATCAACAACATCATATAAGTGATCTCCACCACTTCTATTACACTTTTGATGAAGAACTTAGGTGGTTTGGCCTTAGATTTGTGCATGAATCTTTAGTATATGCTTAGAGAGAGTTTAGAGCTTCTTGGAGATGTGATTTGGTCGAAAATGATCTTTAGAAACGAAATTTATCACTTTATATAACAAGGTAAGCTTCCCTCGACTTTGTGGGTCCCATGGAAGCTGCTTGTGCAGTCTTGCAAAAATGCAAATATCTCTCTATTCAGACATGAAAATATCTCTCTATTCTGATGTCGTATTGACGAACAGTTTGATGCATTGTAAACTAGATTCGTAGATCTTTAATTTTATGGGTGTATCACCCGGTAACTCAAAGTATATTTGGAGAAAAGCTCAGTGACATTAGACCCAAATTTAGGTCAAATTATAAATATAACTTGTGACAACTTTTGCCGTGTTTTGTTTTACAACTTGCTTGACTTCAAAACTATTTACCTTGAAAATGGTAACTACATTTATATTTCATTTTGTGGTTCTAAATATACGTGATTTATCTTAATGCTAGTTGTTAGGCAATAGATGCTAAATGTGAGTAAAGAAAATAAGAAATGCAAACCAATAGGGTTATGATGCTGGGCCTCGACCTAGATGGAGCAGGGCCTCGAGGTCTAAATGGGCTAATAGTGATGAGCGATCGATAGAGGATCAATGGTAACGAGGGCCTCAAAGATGGACTTTTACGGTTAATAATGAGCAATAAATGAAGAATAATAAATGAACAATGAAAGAATAAGCAATAAATGTGAAGAACAATTGTTTAAGCAAAGAGCAGAGAATGATGTATTGTATTCAATATGTTGTGTAATAATCGAATCCTTTACAAGATGACAAGGTTCCTCTTTATATAGGAGGGGGAATTCCAACATAGTACATGTCTAATAATAATGAGGGAATGCTATTGGTACAACTGTATAATGACTTAGTACAGATTAGCACTATCCTTTGCAGACTTGGTCAGCTCTAATCACGTGTATTTGGGAATTTTCCTGCCTCTCCATGACGATCATCGATTGTACTGCTCCGAGGTTGACCACAATGAGCCTTCGATGTGCTCCCTCGAGGGACGCACCTCGGGGTTTCACCTTATTCCCCGCTTTGAGCTTCTTCGAGGTTAGGCGTGAAGCGACATAGTAGCCCCAGAATCGAACTCTCTAATTTTGGCTGTATACAGATAGTCCCCGCATTTCTTAAAATGAAATGATAAGGGACGATCTTGAGTTCTTGCTTCTTCGATACTCCCATTATGACGTCAGCCACATGAGATCATTAAATGGCATGACAAAAAAGTTATACATGGGTCTTATCAAACACGGTTCTCGAAAAGCCCATGAACCGCTATTGGTCGCCCTTTCAACTCCTCCTAGTGACTTATAAATACTCCAATCCTCTATCTTTCAAACTTTTGCAACATCTTCAAATCTTCAAGTCCTCATTAACAGTTTCCTGCCTTCACCCTTCTTCCGTGTTCAGTTCTTTGTCAACTTGCTTTGAAACCTCTGTTACAACCATGGCAAAACCTTCTAAACCTTCTCAAACAGTACCTTCTAAAATAGTACCTCGGTATATTAGTCTAATAACTGACATAAAGAAGGTAAAAATAGATTGCCGTTGGGGAAAGGCGTTACAAGTAGAGATCCCTTCTCCAGTAAAGGATATAACTATGCATAAACCTGGTTTCCTCAGCGTATATATATATCCCTTTGCTTTGTGTCCTGTAAGCTTTTCTTCTCCATCGATAGACCCGGTGATCCTTGATTTTTGTCAAGAATATCGAGTGATGGTCAGTCAGATTTATCCTTCCTTTAAGAGAATTGTCTACTTGCTTAGACATTTCTCGAACATGGTCGAGGGGATGTCTTTCACCCTCAATTACCTGATTAGATTGTATAGCCCTCGCCTTTATTGAGGGGGCCTGGTCAAACTACGACATTGGTCTGCCAAAGCATTTTTTGCCAATACCGAAAATAAGGACCAGGGGTGGATGAGCCGCTTCGCTAGGGTTAGAACTTCAGACCTCAACCGAGAAGATGTCATTCCCCGAGGAATGGGATATGAGGCGTAAGTATTTTTACACCGAGCATGTTTTGTCATCTGAATGTCCTCTTTTCCTCTTTCGAACTAACTCATTTGTTGTGTGAATTGATTTCTCTCTGATTTCTTATCCACCGTGTGGTTCCCCGGCGCGGTCAACAATCTCCCTAGCTGGGTTAAACTTTTAGACTCTACATCTCCATATGATAAGCGCGTTTGGCATGATCTAGCCAAAACTTGATGGGAGGCCAAAAATCATGGTATGCCTTCGCCACCATCACTTCCAAATCCCTTATAAATGGTTTTTTTGGTGGTGTGTTTGACATTTTATGGCTGTGTAGGCCTCGGGGAAGCTATTTCAATGAGACCACCCCTTCTAGCAACAAGGAGACTCAAAGTCCTGCCAAAGATAGAAAGAGAAAGGAGGAGACGCTGGCGGAGACCCCGAAACCAAAAAGAGCCAAGGCTTGAAAGCCCATAACCGATGCAATGGTCCTAAATTCGGTAGGGGCTGAGAGTCTTTGTGCTGAAGATGATGACATCTGCTCCATTGATACACAGGTAAAGACAAAGCACTGATGCTTCGATGGTTCTCGGGCAGAAAACTGCCGAATTAGAGGCGGCCGATGCGGTCCCACCTCGTATTTAGGAATCCTTCGGGGAGGGTTTGGGTGCAGTTCCCGAGCCGATTACTGAACAGGGTTCAACTTGTGCTGATGAACAATTTTTCGGCGCATTTGTAGGATCTGGCTCGGAATCCCTTCGAGGGCAAGAAGAAGCCTCGATAGAGGTTGATGTCATGTGTGGTCTTCAATTAGGCCCATTGTTTTTCCCAAGGCAAATACGGGATGCCTAGAATAGGGAGAACACCGATATGGGGGCATCCCAGGGGAAGGATGAGATGTTTGGAGATTTATTTGCCGGAGTCGAAGAGGATGATGATCTCGATGCCCTAGTCGCTCTCGAGGAGGCTGCGAAACTCTAAAAACAACTAATATTGACATAATCTTTGCGCATTGAGCTTTGATCTTCGTTTTCCTTACTTCTTTCCTTCGTGCTATAAGTCATGATGTTGTATGACCAGGCCTTCTCTAAGTTAAGAGCTGAACTGACTCATCGCGAGGAGGAGTTCGAGAAACTTTCCACGGAGTTAAAAGAGCTAAAAACTCTATACGCCCGAAGGGAGGAGGAACTGAACAGCCTTCGAGCAAGCCCGGAGAAAATGCTCCAAGAGCGGGCCGACTTCACTGGGCAGGTAGTTCGGTATTTATGAGCTTGCTTGTTGTTTTCGTAACTTGGTGTTTACTATCTTGGCTCAACATTTGCAGATTGAGCGAAAGAATGCCCTAGCGGAGCAGCTTCAGGAAGAGATTTCCGCCAAAGATGCCGAGATACTTGAGCTAAAGCGGTGCAAGGATAGCACGACCTTGGAAAGGAATACTCTCCGAGGGGAACTGGCCTCGACCTAGGGTCTTCTTCAAGCTGCTAAGAAGGAGGCTCACAAATTCTAGGTGCTTCATGCCGAGTCTACTGCTATGTTATCCGTGGCTAAGTCTGACGCCGATGCACTCTTATCCTCATATCGGAAAGACACTGCTGTAGTAAATGCTCGAGCCAAGGAGATATCTGAAGAGTCCGAGATCAAAATGGCTCACGCCCTTGTACACGCTCGGTTAGAGGCTCGGAGAAGGGCCTTCGAGGAAATGTATGCCAAGGGTTTTGATCTCTCTGCCGAGGTCGAAGAAGCGAAGGCCTTGGAAGAAGAGTCATCAGCTCCAACTTCTTCGGACGAGGGCTCGACGAGTGGCGAAGACGAAGACTAAACCACTTTTGCCCCCTTTTTTCTTTGCTTCTTATTTTCTTGTACATGAACTCTGCATGGGAGTTTTGTAAATGCACCTTTGTAGATATATTTTTGGAATGCAAAGGATTTTGGTGTCTTCAAAGTTTATCCCTTTAGTGTTTACACCGAAGTCAAGCTTTGAACTTAATTTTAACTTCATCGAGCTCGGTCTCAGATCAATAGAGACCCTCTAGATCGGGTGACTCTGGTTCTGATCATACCTTTCCTAGGTTGAGTTGGTGAGGACTTGACTTGAACCATCAGTGTCTTGAACACGGGGCGACAGCGTCATTCCTCTAACATGACAATGAAGTGACCGAAATAGCCCCGTCAGTACATTTCCCAAAAGGTCATAATTGCATCATGAGAGCTGATTGGCTATCAAAGTTAATGAATAGTCGCCGCTCTTTATAT